ACTCTTTCCAGCCCCACTGAAAACTTGGTGTTTGCAGAACTTGCCAAGCACTCTCGCCTGGGAACAACCTTGCACCCATAAATTCTCCGCCTGAAATGCCTTGCCCCTCCCCCCATTCTCGTTTCATGCCCCTGCCCCCCAACTCCTGTTTGTCCTATGGGCCCAGCTTGTGTGGCTCCTCCTCCAGGAAGCCTTCCGGAGCCCAGGCTCTTCCTCTGTACTGGCTACCGCTCCCCCTGTGCTGGCCGCCTCTCCCTCCTGGTTGTGCATTTGCCCCTGATGAGGGGTCTTGCCTTATTGCCTCCCAGCCAGGGACCTGGCACAGTGCCAAGGATGGATGGGACCCTGGAGTGTTGAAGCGAGTGTAACATACAAACACTGACACATCAGATGGTGGGGACCTCGATCTCAGCCAGGGTACAGCCTGGAACCGGAAAGGAGATAAAGGCAGATGGTGGGGTGGGGTGTGGTGAGATGCATGATAAAGTGAGGTTTCTAAGTCACCACTGCTTAGATAAGGCACAACCAGTCGGCAACGAGTTCCCCGCTTATGTGGGGCCTCTGGGGTCCTGGGGACAAAGAGGTGCGGAGAACCCTTTCATGGGACCACCATTCACAGCAGCGACACAGAGTTGGAGGTTGGGAGGCTGTGTGAACACCTGGAGACTTAGGACTTAGGCCACCCAGGGTATTCAGGAAATAGGCAGTTTCCGTAAATTCAATATTTGTCCGCTCCTCTTAGTGGGAGACGCCTTTTACCTTTAACCCTGTTGCTGAAAAGCTTTCTAAGCACTGGTGCTGCTTTTCCTGCCTTATTAAGCAGAGCGAGTGTCTGTGCCTGAATGACTTGCAGGGTCTTCAGATGGTCACGTGGGGCACGGATCCCCGCTGACTGAGAAGGAGGTGTGGAAGCGGGGAGAGCCTGAGGGACCGCTTGGCATGAGGAGGCTCATGAAATGAATGAAATGAAAGAATCCTTTCATTTTGCGGCCATTCGCCAAGTTTTACTAGAAGCTGTTCAGCCGGGTTTGTGCAGAATCCGTTATGATTCATCGAGGGCTCCATCCAATTGGCTAAGCGTTGGAGAATCAGATGCTGATGGCGCAGAACTTTTTTCTGAGTGACGGTGAGGGTGGCGTTGGGGTAAGGGCAGGGGTCTGCTTCTCCGGCTTCTTTCCTTCCATGCACACACACTGCCGCTGAGAACCATTCAGGGAGTCTTCCTCTAATTCATGGGGGGCGGGGTTCCATTTAGTTTATCCCAGTTTGGGGAGAATCTGCTGCCTCTGCAGAAGGGAAGCAGGGAGACAGCCGGGCTTGGTGGGCAGAGCCTGATACTAGACTTGGGGACACTGGGCTTGAATCCAGATCCAACGCTGACTTGCCGTGTGGCCTTCGATAAGTCACCGCCCCGCCCCGGGTTCCGTTTTCCTCTTTTGCAGAATGTGAATACTTCTTCCCTCACAGGTTGTTGGCAGGGGATTAGAGAGGGTTTGTTAGTAGGCGATGATCTGCCTGCTAAGAATGGCCCTGAACTGTAGAACTTTTGGCACCGCAGTGCGGCGGCTGAGTCACAGACCGGGATCCGATTGGGCTGTGCCGAGTGTCTGCGCATGCCCATTCTGATTGGGCTGAGCCTGTTCCTTTGCCAGTGCTATGCATTCTGAACATCACCCCGTCTTCTTTAGAAGCTAGGGTGAGCGCAAGTGAGACCATCGGTGAAGGGCTTATTAGAAGAGAATCCTATAGTTGGTGCTCAATAGCGGTTCACTGCTCTTGTTGTAAAGCTTGGGGGTGACTTCTCTGAACCCCGTTCCCTTCAGCTCCTGGCACGTGGCCATGAGCCTGGAGATGGACGGTGAGAAGATTGGACCAGGCAGAATTCTGTACATGACGATGGGAATTACGGAGGGAGTGGGGTGGCGATTAGAAGCAGCAGCGGCCGCAGTTGCAGTGCTGGTGGAATTGGCAGAAATGCTGACATTTCCTGGGGCTCGCCACGGCCCTGGCACTGCGCTTGGACTAGACCAGTTTCTGGTTTCAGGGTAGACAGTGTGCGATGCTCCAGTTCTGTGGTAGAGCCCCGTCGCTTCTGTGCCCCGACGTGCCTGGACCAGCCGGCCCAGGAGTCCAGAAAAGCAAGGAGCTTTCGCACCTGCGTGTGGATTCTGTTTGGGGCCTGACGTTGCGGTCACTGAAGGAATATTTTCCTATGTCTTCATTACTGGTGTTTTTACGTAACTTAGAAAAACTAATATTGGGGCCACATCCCAAGAGTTTAGAACAACTGGATTTCTTTTTTAAATAAAAATTGCTCGTGGTCAGATGTAGTGCTCTCAGCCGGGCACTGACCGTGGAGCTGTTGAATCTGTCCTGGTCTGGCTCAGCCTCCCTCACCCCACCCTGGTGAGGGATACGTCTCCTGACTCTGGTTCCAACACATAAGACACAGCGGACACCGCAGGGGCAAGGCTTTGAAATTCCTATTCTTCCTCCTTGCCCGGCTTTTGGAATTTGCCCTCCTTCTTGAGCAGGCACCAAGCACGTGGGGAAACAAAAGTGTTGGTCAGCCTGCCTAGGAAAGCTCTGCCACCCACCGTGTGATTCCCTCGTGACAGGTTTTACTGGGGGCTTAAGAAGCTTTCCCGAGGCTGGTGCTCATGACTGTTTCAAATGAGAACCCAGGTTGCCTGTCAGGTATCAGTTTTCTGGGGCTGACATAACAAAGTCCACAGACTCAGGGGTTTAAACAACAGATAATTTGTTTCTCACAGTTCTGAAGGCTGGATGTCTGAGTTCAGGGTGTGGGCAGGTTGGGTTCTTCTGAGGCCTCTCTCCTTGGCTTATAGACGGCCGACTTCTCCCTGTGTCCTCACATGGTCCTCTCTCTGCATGTCTGTGTCCTAATCTCCTCTTCTCATAAAGACACCAGTCAGATTGGGTCAGGGTCCACCCTAACGGCCTCGTTTTAACGTAATGACCCCTTTAAAGACCTGCTCTCCAAATTCAGTCACATTGTGAAGGGCTAGGGGGTTAGGACTTCAAAATATGGACTTTGGAGAGCCACAGTTCACTTCACAGCCCTTTTTCTGTGAAGACTTATAGAGCTAAGAGGACTTTTCACTGCCTCCCCCGACATCACTCACCTTTGTGTCCCCAAAGCAGTTGCCAAAAGTGTGTGAAGTGCTCTGGAGTGTCGGGCTGTTCAGAGAACCCTTTGCCACTCGATACCGATGCTGGTCTCACTGCCGTTGGATTCAGCCCTGCCCGTCTCCCCCTGGAAGCCCTCCCAGATAACCAGGCTGGTGAAATGGCCCACCTTGAGCTCCCCACACCCTGTGTGAACTGGATTGTAACCATCTGCTTTACATGCCTTTCCTCCTCATTAGGCTGTGAGCCCTTGGAGGGCAGGGACCCTGCCTGAGTTATCTCTGTTCACCCAGTTGCCTGCGTAGGACCCGCCTCAGAAATGTTTACCTAATGGAACTGAAGCTGCACGGTTGACAGCCATTTTCTTTTTCTTTTAAGAACCAAAGTCCGTCTCTGTTGTTTGTGCCCAGGCAAATAGGAGAGAACTTAATTGTTCCCGGTGGAGTGAAGACCATTGAGGCCAATGGGCGGATGGTTATTCCCGGAGGTATCGATGTCAACACGTACCTGCAGAAGCCCTCCCAGGGGATGACAGCCGCTGATGACTTCTTCCAAGGGACCAAGGCAGCACTGGCAGGAGGGACCACGATGATCAGTGAGTCGTACCCCTGCCTTAGGGCATAGGCTGTGACTTCTCTTCTGCATCCTCAGCATCTTGAGTGACACCAGGCACTTTGCTCAGGGTACCTGGTGTGCAGGTGGCTAAAGTTTTGGAACCAGTGATGTAGATGTTGCTATGACAGATGGGGCTGTAAGGGCTCAGAGAGGTGAGATAAGTTGCTGAAGGTTACGCAGCTGGGAAGTGGTTGTGTTAGACAGTGTTGCTGCCGTAATGCTGTGATAATGCTGCATAACAAACAGCCCCCGAACTTCAAGCAAACACTTGTTTTTCTTATTCAAGGGTCCACAGGAGTAGGAGCAGGACTGCTGTGCGTCTGCTTTAGGCTGTGGGGTGGCTTTGGGGTGCGGGTACCGTGGCTCTCCCATTCTGGAATCAATGCTCAACTCAACCATGCTCTTCTCCAAGTAGAAGGCAGAAGTGCAGGCAGTGTCTGGCAGAAACTTGCTCCTCCTCTTACCACCTCATTTCTTCACCTACACACTGTAACTTCAGCCCTCTGTTCTGTTGGCCAAAGCAAATCACACGGCCAAGTGCAAAGTCCCTGAAATTGTCCACAGTGAACCATGGTGAGGGTGGGAAGGGAAAGAAGAATTGTGGACAAATAACGCCATCTACCACAGTGGTCTGTCTGGGATGCTGGACTCCCTCTACTGCCCTTTGCAGCCAGATTGTTGTGTTTTCTTTTTTTTTTAATCCAACAGAGCTTTTGTTTGGATTCCATTTTAATAAGCAATTTTGATTATATAGGCAGCAGTGTATTTGAAATGTTCTTTCAATAGTTAGACTCCACATCTAGGTGGCTTGTCCCTGAGCTGGTCCCAACCCTGCCCATCTCTCCCCATCGAAGAGTTCCTCTGGAGGTGCACGCTGGCTGGAGTTGGCCACTGTGAGCAGAGCTCATGTATCAGAGTTCCCGTCCTCCTGAGCCAGGAGGGTATGGCCCAGCTCAGGAGGCAGGCACCGTTCTGATCCCTTTTCCAAAAAGCAGCCCCGTGTCTGCTGGTTAGGAACGTGGGAGGAGCCCAGATTTGGGACTTGGATCCTAGCTGCCAGGGTTTGCACTGGTCACGGCCACTTAGCAGCTGCACCACTGGGCAATATTAAGCCTCTGTGAGCCTCAGCTTCCTCGTCAGTAACATGGACTTTATAATGTGCCCCCCAGCCCATACATGTGGTTCCTTAACATAGTGCATGGCATATGGTGGTAAGTGCTTTGGGAATAGGAGCTGGGATATTCTGAGAGGTGGAGATGGAAGTTCCAGACTCAGGGGACCTGTGTGAGGTAGAGGACAGAGGCCTGCATGAAGAATCGGGATCCCCTTTGCTCTTTTTCCATCACCAGCTGTGAAACCCCTGGGGGACCCCTCCACCAGCCCCATGAGCCTCATCTTCCCCATCTATAAAAGGGTGATTTTCAGAGTATGTTTCATGGAGCACCAAGAGCCTACGAAGTCACCCTGAGAACCACAGTTAGGAGGTATGGGGGGGAGCAGGGAGGTTCTGAGTCCCCACCCCATTTCTTCATTTAACAGATATTTATTGAGGGCTGCTCTGCACCAGGCACTGTGCTAAGGTGGTGAGGAAGAGAAGGAACAAAGCAGACATGATGCTTATTCTCCAGGGCCTCGCAGTCCATGGGGAGTCACTAATCACCCACACAAATGCCTATACGCGGATTAGTTCCACAGAAGAAAGGGGCACAGTGCTTTGAGCTGTGGGGCAAAGGGCTCGGTGAGGCTTCCCTGAAGAAGTGGCATTTGTGCATCGATCTGAAGGATGAGTGGGAGTTAACTGGGTGAAGAGGGTATAGGGGAGCAGAGCTCCAGGAAGAGGGAACAGCACATGCAAAGGCCCTGTGGTGGGGGAACACATCTTGTGTTTAAGAGATTGGAAGAAGGCCTAGGAGGCAAAGGTGCGGAGATTGAGGGCTGGAATCCTGTGAGATAAGGCTGGGAGGAGAGGATGGTACTGGGCCTTGATGGCCAAGGTCAGAATTTTGGTCTTTTTCGTATGGTTGATGAGCAGCCATTGAGGGATGTTAAGCAAGGGAATGATGTGATCTGTTTTAAAGAGACCTGAGTAGAGTGGCCTAGGTTGAATGTGACTAGACCAGTGGGAGGTGATTGCAGTTGTTCAGCTGAGAGTTGAGGGTGGCTTGGACTAGGAGTGTGACCAGGAGGTGGACAGATGTGGACAGCTCCAGTGACGTATCAGAGGGAAATCAGCAGTGGTGATGGATCAGCAGTGGAGGTGCATGAGGGAAACGAAGGGTCAAGAGTAACCCCTTGGCTTCTAGCTTTCGGAATGGTGAGGCGATATCCTCACCATTCTGGGGTGGGGGTGGGGGACCTGCTTTGCCGGTGGGGTCGGGGAGGGGACGATGTGGCATGAGGTTCTGGACATTCTCATCTTGAGGAGCTCTTGAGTCATCCTAGTGGAGAGTTCAGAATCCTGTGGCTGAGAGGGGGGGATACATTTGAATGAGCAGCCACGTAGAAAGAAAAGTTCTAGGGCCAGGTCGTAAGGACTTTGATCACTTAATGGTCAAGTAGAGGAGGAAGAGTCTTCAAGGAAACAGTGGCCACAGAAGTGGGACAAAAAGCCAGACAGCCGTTGCCATGGAAGCCAGGGAGGAGCGAGTTTAAAGAAGGAGGGAGTGATTCACTGGTTTCTGCAAGCTCAAGTAGAGTGAGGACTGGAAGGTCCAATTAGCAAAGGCTGACGCTCTGGGTGGGTGGAGGAGTGAGAGGGAGCGGGGAGCAGAGACTGCTCTTTACAGACATCTGGCCGTGAAGGGTGGATGTTAGAAAAAGGGTGGGGGCTTGAGGGATGTGCGGAGCCCAGTGAGGTTTAAAAGACAGTTGTCTCCCCGTTGATCTGCTTTACATTTAAGACTTTATTGGAAAAAGGGATGATGAAGTTCATATTCTTTTAGGTCCTTTTCGCCTTGGCGTTCTATGCCCGCGAAGGCAGCATGGAGTAGCGGGAAAGGGTCCAGACTCTGCAGCTGACAGGACTCTGGGCATCTTCTCCGTACTGCTTACTAGTTGTGTGACCTTGGACAAGTTTTTCACCCTCTTTGAGCCTAAGTTTCCTCATCTGTCAGATGGGGATGTTTTTATTCTCTTCACAGGGTAGTTGCGAGGATTTAATGAGATAATTTATATAAAGCCCTTGTGGCGGTATCTGACACATCAGAAACATTCAATAAACAGTCATGATAATGATGGTGATGGTGACGACGAGGAGGAGGATGAAATGACGGTAACAATGGTGGGGACAGTGGTGGCAATGAAGACTAAAGATGGTGGTGACCATGTCACTGCTGATGGTTATGATAATGATGGTGACATCGATGGCAGTATTGATGTTGATGATGGTGGGAATGATGATGAAAAGGATGGTGATGATGAGGATGCTGATCTTGATGATGTAAGTGGTGGTGATGATGATAATGGTCATGGTGATGGTGGTGATGGGGGGGATAGGGAAGGTCACGATGATTATGCTAACATTGGAGATAATGATGGTGATGATGGCAGTGAAGAGGCTGCCACTGGGTTGACTTGGGTCCTAAGCATCTTGGAATGTGACACATATTTTTCTGTCCCAGTTGACCATGTTGTCCCTGAACCTGGGTCCAGCCTGCTGACCTCCTTCGAGAAATGGCATGAAGCGGCAGACACTAAATCCTGCTGCGACTACTCCCTGCACGTGGACATCACCAGCTGGTACGACGGTGTTAGGGAAGAGCTCGAGGTGCTGGTGCAGGACAAAGGTCAGTTAAAGCCCCAGAAAGGGGGCATAGTTCTGGAATCCCTGTCTTGTTTGTGGGTCTGATTTGTGGAGTTAGAATCCCTTTATCTGCATCTGCTATGAGCCCAACTGTGAGCTGTGCCCTGCCCCATAAACAGTGGAAAAATTGGACCCTCCTTAAGAGTCTATCTTCCTGTCCTTCAGGCCCTTTGGAGGTTCCCCCTGTTTATAGAAGAAAGCCCGATTTCCTTAGCCTGGCACACAAGGCCTCCACTGATCTAGCCTCACTTTTCTTTCTCTGCCATAAGCTCATCTGGGTGCTTATTATCCTGGACGCCATCCCCTGAAACCTGCTGCTCCACTGGGCCTTTGCTGTTGCATTCTCCACACCCCCTACCAGGGATGCCCTTTCTTCTCTGCTTCCCGGCTCAACTATCCCAGTTTCCCCAGTCAGGCTTCAGAACTGCTCCATCCCTTGAATATCCATAGAAGGTTACTTGGGCCTCTTTGGGGGCACCTTTTCCATTATTTTTGGATTACGGGACACTGGTTGTCTGTCTGGCTCTTCTGTTAAATGCTGAGCTTACGAGGGAGGGGATTATGTCTGTGCATCTCTGTATCCCACCCTCTCTCCCCTCTGTGTGAGCTCAAACCAGACATCTCTGCGCAGTGTGGGTACTTTACTGTGTGCCTTACACCAAATGGAGGTGAATTGAACTGAACACCCACAGAAACAGAGAGCAGGAGAACAGAATAAACCAGGCGTGAGGGGTCCCTCGGGAAGAGGCAGTTCTGAGGCTGTCTGAGGAAGCACCATCAAATGAATGAGATGCTTCAAGGAGAGATGGGGGGTGTTTTCAATTTTTTAAATATATATACTGTGTTTTCTCATAAAAGTATCGTCGCCCAAATACAAAAAAACAGTCAGAAAGTCAAGAGAAGGAAAAAGTTTTTCCCTCTGGTCTTACCCCCCCAGTTACCACTAACCATTAGTAGTAAGGATTATTGCTTTCTGTTCCCTATCTATTTAGACAGTTTTCTCCATATATAGTTATACGATAGCAGTTATTTGGAATCCTTTTTTCACCTAACGTTTTATGAGTAATCATTACTCTTCATTAATTACTTTTTAATGGCTCTTAATACACAATGTAATGGTTAATTTGTGTAGCTATTTCCTTTTTATTGGGCATTTAGGTTTTCTGTTTGCTTTACTGTAAATCATGTTTGGTGAACATCTTTGTAATGCCATCCAGAGATGGCATTACGGGGGTCAAGGTTTTAACATTTTTCAAAATCATGACACTTACCGCCAAATTGCTTTCCCCAGAAATGCACCCACTTGCATGCCCACAGCCCATGTCTCTCACTCCGTGCATGTTTGCACCATTGGGTGTTATTACTTGTATGAAATCCTTGCTAATTTGATGAATAAAAGTCAGTCTACCGTTGAACATTGCAGTTCTTTAACTGCTAAACTAATTACATTAAACATTTTGCATACATTTTTCCTTTATGTGAATGTCCGATTGTGTTCCTTGCCCATTTACCAGTTTGGGTCTCATAAGTCTGAGCTTCTATATCCAGATGGTTTTATCCCTTCATTGAAGTTGCTGTGAGTCACACTCTTGTTTTGTACAGAATCATAGTCCAGGTTGTAGAAAGATCCCAGCAGTTGTGCTGCCTGAATCTGAATCCTGCCCTCACACTTCTTGGCCTTGTGACACTGGGCAAGTCACCAAGCTGCCCTCTCTGAGGCTCGCCCACTGACTCCCCATACATAGTGTCAGAGCTCTGGTACCAGGCGTGAGACTCCTGGTCTGAACTCGGTGTTAATTCTCCAGTCGAAAGAAGGAAACGACCCATATGTCCATTAAAGGATGATTGGATAAACGAAATGTAGTCCGTCCTTACAGTGGAATGTCATTCAGCTTTGAAAAGGAAGGGAATTCTGACGCCTGGTACGACATGGATGAACCTTGAGAACATTATGTCAAGTGAAATAAGCCAGTCACAAAAAAGACAAATGCTGTATGACTGTGCTCCTATGAGATGCCTAGAATCGTCCAGTTCAGAGAGAGAGACAGAGTAGAATGGTGGTTGCCAGGGGCTGTGGGAGGGGCAGTGTGCAATTAGTGTTTAATGGGGGGCAGAGTTTCAGTTTTGCCGAGGTGAAGCGTTCTGGAGATGGAAGCACAACAATGTGAACGTACTTAATGCCACTGCACTTGCAGATGGCTCCGATGGTAAATTTCCTGTGAGGTATATTTTACCACAACTAATGAAAAGCAGCAGTTATTTCTTTGCTCACAGCTCTGTGGAAAGGCACTTTGGTTTGGGCTCAGCTGGGCGGTTCTGCTCAACCGTGGCTCACTCATGCCTTGCGCCCCAGCTGGGACAGGTGGGACCGCTCTCTACACCCTCCCTTCCCCAGCAGGCTCTCGTGGGCTTCTTCCCTTGGTGGCTCCGCAAGGGTGAGTGGAGCTGCAAGCCCTCTTGAAGCGCAGGCTTGGAATGTGTCCACTGACACTTCCGCTTCGTTCTGCTGGGCGGAGCCAGTCTCGAGAGCAGCCCACGCTCAAGGAGTGAGGAAATAGGTTCTACCTCTTGAGAAGGGTCACTGCAAATGTTGTGTGAAACTGTAAACTATTACCAGCCTGTTTAGTCTCTTTCTGCCTCCTACTTCTACATGAAATTATCTTGTTTGTTTGTTTGTGCATTGCTTATTTCCACTAGAATGTAGACAGGGATCCTTGCTACCTTGTTCACAGCTGTATCTCTAGCTTCTAGAGCGGTGCTTGTACGTCGTAAGTACTCAGTGAATATTTGATGAGTGAGAAAATAAATATTCCATGAAAAAGGACTTCTGGGGTCTCATACGTTTTGGAAATGCTCCCTGTTTATTCTATTCTTGAATATTCTTTTATTTATTTTTTAACATCTTTATTGGAGTATAATTGCTTTACAGTGGTGTGTTAGTTTCTGCTGTATCACAAAGTGAATCAGCTATACGTATACCTATATCCCCATATCTCCTCCCTCTTGCGTCTCCGTCTCTCCCACCCTCCCTATCCCACCCCTCTAGGTGGTCACAAAGCACCGAGCTGATCTTCCTGTGCTATGCAGCTGCTTCCTGCTAGCTATCTGGTTTACGTTTGGTAGTGTACATATGTCCGTGCCACTCTCTCACTTCGTCCCAGCTTACCCTTCCCCCTCCCCGTGTCCTCAGGTCCACTCTCTACGTCTGCGTCTTTATTCATGTCCTGCCCCTAGGTTCTTCAGAACCATTTTTTTTTAGATTCCATATATATGTGTCAGCATATGGTATTTGTTTTTCTCTTTCTGACTTACTTCACCCTGTATGACAGACTCTAGGTCCATCCACCTCACTAGCTTAATGCACATTGTCATGTTAAAATCTGTGAGGAAGCCCTGCAGTCAGGAAACCTGTTTGTTGATGAATCCAGTTTTTCACCAATATAAATATCACCATCCCTGTGTTTGATTACAAACAAGAGACTCACTGCAGAGCTTGGCTTAAGCTAAATGAAGCAGATTTGCTTTAGTGATAAGAGACGTGTATCCAGGGATACCATGTCAGGGAGTCTTCCCCCGTGCTCATCCCTGCTTTTCTCTTCGGGCCAGTTCTGCTCTCCCCTCTCACCCTTGACCTGCATTCTCCACTTCTGTAGCCCCCGTGGTGGAATGCAACAGTCCACTCTTTGTCTGGGTGGACATCTGTTTCACAGATTAGTCAGGTGTCCTTTGGTATTACTTGGACTCAGTCCTTCCTCCTGGCTCAGCTTAGCCTCTGTTAGGTGCCCAGCTCTGGACTAACCGTCTGTAATCTGTGGCCACGTGGTATGAGCACGGCTGTTTCCAAGGTTATTGGATGGATAGTGGAAGAGGGTATTTGCTAGAAAATGTAAGAGAGTTCTGAGAACTGGAGGGTGTTATGAACGGATTGGCAACCCAGTAGGTGTTCAATGTAATCCTTTAGAATTGGTGTTCCATGCAACCTCCTTGGAGAACTGTGGTGATGGCGTTTATGAATTTGGGAGGTGTTGTGAGCATCAGGGCCTATTGTATTTCCCAAGACTCTACTGCTAGTAGTAGAATTATCGGGCCAAAGATCTGGAGACACTTAAACTCTTGACACGGATTGTTAATTGGTTTTCCAAGCAGGTGCAAATCGGTTGTGCCAGTTTTCACTGTCACTTGCTATGTGGGAGGGACTCATCGTGATGCACACTCACTAGCACTGTGTAACATATTCTAAAATGGTGGTTGTTGTTTTTTTTAACATTTGTATTGGGGTATAATTGCTTTACGACGGTGTGTTAGTTTCTGCTTTATAACAGAGTGAATCAGCTATACATATACATATATCCCCATATCTCCTCCCTCTTGCATCTCCCTCTCTCCCACCCTCCCTATCCTACCCCTCTAGGTGGTCACAAAGCACCAAGCTGATCTCCCTGTGCTATGCGGCTGCTTCCCACTAGCTATCTGGTTTACATTTGGTAGTGTGTATCTGTCCATGCCACTCTCTCATTGCTTCCCAGCTTACCCTTCCCCCTCCCTGTGTCCTCAAGTCCACTCTCTGGTAGGTCTAGGTCTGCGTCTTTATTCCTGTCTTGCCCCTAGGTTCTTCATGACCTTTTTTTTGTTTTTAGATTCCATATGTATGTGTTAGCATACGGTATTTGTTTTTCTCTTTCTGACTTACTTCACTCTGTATGACAGACTCTAGGTCCATCCACCTCACTACAAATAACTCAATTTCGTTTCTTTTTATGGCTGAGTAATATTCCATTGTATATATGTTCCACATCTTCTTTATCCATTCATCTGTTGATGGACACTTCGGTTGCTTCCATGTCCTGGCTATTGTAAATAGTGCTGCAATGAACATTGTGGTACATGACTCTTTTTGAATTATGGTTTTCTCAGGGTATATGCCCAGTAGTGGAATTGCTGGGTCGTATGGTAGTGGTACAGTACTGAGGTTTTCATCTGAATTACTTTTGATTCCAAATGAGACCAAATCTTATTCTCACCTTTATTTGTTAGGCATTTAAAACAAATTGTCTAAAAATTCTGTTTGTCTTTTTTGCTTCATTGTTTTTATTTTAAGCATTTTTAAATATAAAACAAAGCATACAGAAAACCACGCAAGGAAAAAATGTGGCTTTGTGAATTATGAGATTACCCTTTCCAGGTAAGAAATAGAACTTTGCCCCAAACAAAGACCCCCAACAAACCTCTCATGGCCCCCCATTGTAGCCACAACTCCTTCCTCCTCCCAAAAGTAACCACTGTCTGGTGTTTTTTAAATAAGAGGTCTTTTGGGTTTTTATTGTTTTGTTTTGTTTTGCGGTACGCAGACCTCTCATTGTGGCCTCTCCCATTGCGGAGCACAGGCTCCGGACGCGCAGGCTCAGCAGCCATGGCTCACGGGCCTGGCCGCTCCGTGGCATGTGGGAGCCTCCCGGACCGGGGCACGAACCTGTGTACCCTGCATCGGCAGGCGGACTCTCAACCACTGCACCACCAGGGAAGCCCTACATAAGAGGTTTTAAAAAAAAAAAAACCTTTGTTAAATTTGTTGCAGATATGTTCACCATGTTGGTTGTTTGCTTTTTAGTTTGAACTTTTAAGAAATAACTTATAGAAAGTTTCCATTTATAACAAGTCAAATCTATCATGATTTGGAGGAAAGCTTCTAATCTGAGATAGCTTTACCCCATCCACCCACCCACAAGAACCAGTTCTAGGGCATATTTATCAATTCTGCCAATTCATTATTTCTGCTTTTATTTGTATTGTTTACTTCTAATTTCTGGTGAATTTCCATTTTCTTCTTTTAAAGATTCTTACCATAGAAGCTTACTCAGTTGATGTATGCTCCCCCTCTCCTTCAAAAAATAATGAAGCATTTAAGGCTATGAATTTACCTCTCACTCTGGCTTTACCTGTTTTACCCACTGGTTGTTCTTCTGTGTCTGTGTATATAACTGGGTTTTTGTTTTTGTATGTAAGTATACTTGATTAAATAGAGACTGATACTTTTATGTTAATCTCTGAATATTATTTTTTCTTTTAATTTTTCTTAATCTTTTGGGAAAAGAAATTTTTTGTTGCCAAGGTTTTCTAGACCGGAAATGATTTTTGGCTTGTCTTCACTGTTGCTTAGTGTAAAAGAAGTCTCAGTCTCATCTAGTACTTTTGCCTGAATTTCTTCTTTTTCTTATCCAAAGGATTCCTGATTCCGTCAACAAACATTAATGGCACAGCACATGTTGTGGATGTGCAAGATGAAATAATACATAAGATGTGGTCCCTGTCTTCACCCACTTGAAGGCATATTAAGAAACAGTCCACCCCCCACCTCCTCTGCTCCCCGCTGGCTGCACAATAAGTCCTGTCATTTCACCCTTTTTGCATCCTCCCACTCAGAGCCTCAGCCCACCCGTCTCTTTTGCCTTCAGCATCCTCCAACTCTATTCCTCCATTTCTCCCTGCTGTTCTGCACACCCGTCCCCCTTCCAGAACTGTCCTTCTGAGACAAAGTCTGATCGTGTCATTCCCTTGCTTTAAAAGCACATGTTCTACGAGATAGTAGTGATGGCTGTACAACATTGTGAATGCTCTAAATGCCACTGAATTGTACACTTTAAAAATGGTTATGATGGTAAATTTTGTTGTGTGTATTTTACCGTAATAAAAAAAAGTGATTTTTTTTTTTTTTTTTTTTTTTTAAGCACATACTCCTTTTTGCTTCAGCCACAGGACACTTTCTAGTACCCGCATACCTAATGTCTTTTTATCCTCCTTGCTGTCCATGCCATGCATACCCATCCCTCTCAGCCCAGATAATTGCCTTCCCCCGGCTCCTCTCCCTCCCCTTCTTCCTTTTCCCCCTCCTCTTCCTTCTCCTTCAGACTCAGCTGACATGTCACCTTCCCTGGAGGCCTCCTTGGACCCTCACCCACATCCGCAGGCTGGCTTAGGTGCCCCTGCTGTGAATTCTGATGGCACCCTTCTGTCTTGGTTGTTACCACCCTGTGCAGTGCTTATCGATTTACTGGAAAGACATGTCCTTTCCTCTTAAATGCATTTTTCTACTCTCTTTTTTATCTTGAAACAGGTGTCAATTCCTTCCAAGTCTACATGGCCTATAAGGATCTCTACCAAATGTCCGACAGCCAGGTAGGTCCTTGCACACGCCCCGCCTCCCTTGGGCAGGAATGGGCCTGCCTTGTCAGGCAAAACAGCACAGGGCAGGGGAGATGTCAGAGCAGGCCAGGGAGGGCTCTGGGTTCAAGTCCTGGTTCTGACGCTGAGCTGTCAGTCATCGCCCTTCCCTGGACGTGCATTCCTTTCTGCCTGTAAGAGTGGCGTGGAGCAGGGGTCCCCTGCTTGGTGGTTCCCAAACTCGACTCATCTTCAGCCTCATCTAAAGAGCTCACTGAAACACACAGACTCTTATATTCCATCACCTTTGCTCGGGGGTAAGGTTCAGGAATCTGTACTTTCTTAAAGCTCTGCAGTTGATTCTGGGGCTCAAGCGAGTTTGGGGACCATTACCTTAGCTCTGACCTGGAGGAGAGCCCTGGCTGTCCCTCCAGCCAATTGCAAGTCAGGTCCTTTCTCAGTTTTCTCATCTGTACAACGTGATCATCTCTGGCCCTAACGACCTCAGACAGCCGTTCTGTGGACGAGATGAGTCAAGGAAGAAGGTGGTGTAGGGGGTACAATTTATCAGGCACCTGGCTTCTTACAAAACTGGGACATCCTGGCAGGTGGATGACTGTGTGTTAGTAGTCAGAGCGGTCTTTGCAAATGCTCGTGCTGTGATATTTTTATCTCACCCCAGCCCCCCCTTTGTCCCTCCTTAGCTCTATGAAGCCTTCACCTTCCTTAAGGGGCTGGGAGCTGTTATCTTGGTCCACGCAGAAAATGGAGATTTGATAGCTCAGGTGAGTGGTGTGAGTTTTCACCCCTTCCGCCTCAGTCTCCTGCGCCTTGTAAAGGATATGAGAAAAGGGGGTGGAGGCATTGATCAGCCAGGTCACTAGACAATGAAGGGTCAAGCCAAGAACCGGATGGCATGTCAGGCACTCCAGGTGTGAGTCATGCACAGACTATCTGCAGCGTGGCCTTTGGCAGGTCATAATCACCTCCTCCTTGTGAACCTCGACTTTCTCACCTGTACAATGAGGGTAATATTACTGCCCTGTGAACCATGGCGGGTTTGCATGAGCAACAAATAAGGATCTGAAAGAAGATGCTTGGAAGCTGGGGTTGCTCATCATCCTGCACGACTTGAGAGCGGGGATAATGGACAGAGCTCAGGCTGTGAGCAGGTGTTCCAGTCTGGCCTCCTGACATTGGGCGAGGAACTCCCCCACGAAGCCTCCTGTGCTTCATTTAGAAGCATCTGCCTTGCAGTGTGGTTGTGAGGATTAAATGATGTCATGTATGTGTAGATCAGTGTCGGACATGTACCAGGCTGTAGCCATTCAGAAGTTTTGGGTAGTGTGAGACATGAACCCATTTTGATCGCTCTGGCTATAGGGTGGATAATTTGATGGGAATAGAATAAAGTCAGCTAGGTTTTACTCCAGCAGTTCTCATAGGAAGTGAAGAGAGGAGACAGAGCGGAAGTGGAAGAGGCAAGAATATGATAGGGAAGGTGCACAGTCTACAGGACTCATCCGATTGATTGGATGGGGGGAGAAGGGGAAGTCAAGAATGGCTGCTTGGTCCCCGTGCAGGGTTGATCATGATGCCACGAATCAAGATCAGGCATATAGAAGATTTGGATGCATCCAATGAAAGTAGTTAATGCCGTGCATGATGCTAAGGAGTATGTATATCCTCATTTCATAGGTAGGGAAACTGAGGCTCAGATAGTAATAACTTGCTCACTGTTATATGGGGCATCGGAGCCAGGATGTGAATACAGTTCCATCTGGTTCCAAAGCCCAGTGGAATTGCAACATGACGGTTAAGGGCATGAGATCTGAAGCTTCACCCTTAAGGTTAGCTATTGTCTTTATTTCTTATTATTTGTGTTCTTGCAGTTCTTCTGTAAAATTGAAATTCTTTCAAATTCAAAATAAAAAAGAACAACTCAGTACCATCACACAGCAGTATTCTGGTCATTGGCAAGAAATCACTAAATCCAGCCCTCAGCCCAAAAGATGGGATTGTACAAAGGTATGAATGCCGGGAAATGAGGGTCACTGGGAGCCGTATCAGAGGTTGTCTGCCAGCCTCTCCTCTGGCCCCCAGTGATTGATGACCCTCTCACATGCAAAACACATTCATTCTTTTCCAGGGTCCTCCAAACTCTCACCTCACTACACCATCAAAGACTGGAATCATCTAAGCCAGGTCTAGGTGTGGATGAGGCTTCTTGGGTTTAGTCCCTACAATCTGTAGGTCTTTGAAGAAAATAGGCAAGTTATCTCTCCCCCGCCCCCCTCCCACACTAAACACATGACATATAGTGGTGGGGTGGGCATTCCTATTGAAAAAGGGACAGTGGAAAACACCAGGAGTCATTGGTCCATAGCAGTTCTGAAATCCAGTTAGACAAGTGTTGGCAGTTCCTTGATTAGGTCTTGAAGCCTGAGAATAATTCTCCATGGCTCTTGACTCCACCTTCTGGGCTATTGGTTCCATCCTTCCTTTTCATGAAAGGTAGCCCATGCTTGCAGCTGAGGAATTTTCTCAGCCTGCTTCCTGCACAGTAGAATTTTAGGAGTCCAACTGCCTCCATTCATTTTGTATGTCTTATCCCGTCCAGTCCAGGCTGCCAGTGTTTTGCTAAGATAATCCTCCCAAAACCTTTGTGGGCCTCCTCTGAATCTCACTGGAATTCACCCCATTAGACAAAAGATACCCACAGATTTCTTTTCAATAAGCCCTCCTCCTCCTGGTCAGATAGCCAAGAGGTACCTCCTTGAGTTTCCTAGAGGCCTTAATTTGATTGAGAGGATCTATGGGCACACCCTCAATTATCTGTCCCTCTCACATTTTACTATTTACTATGAGCAGCAAGAAGAAACCAGGCGGTACCTTGACAATTTGCTGGGGACTCTCCTCAGCTAGATCCCTGAGTTCATTAGACACATTTGCCCCTTGCCACTTCACTACAGGTGACAGTGTTGCCGAGCTTTCTGCTACTACATAACAAGATTCCCCTTCCTCTAGTTTTCAATAACAGACGCCTCATTTCCTTTTGAGCTCTCACTAGCAAGGTCCTCAAAGTCCATATTTCTACTAACAGTCCATTTCGGACCAGCTTTCTCTAACACATGCCTTGAAATTCTTCCAGCCTCCATCCACTGCCCGCTCCCAAAGCCACTCCCACATTTTTAGTTAATTGCTATGGCAGCACCCTACTTCTGAATACCAAAATCTGTTTCAGTTCTCTGTGGCTGCATAACAAATTACCCCTAAATTTAGCATTGTCAAACAAAAAACGTTTTCTACGTCATGGTCCTGTGGGTCCGGAGTCCAGGTGTGGCTTGGCTGGGTTTTCGGGCTCAGGGTCTCTCACTGGCTGCCATGAAGGTGTCAGGCAGGGCTGCAGTCATATCAGGGCTGGTCTGGGACAGGATTCCTTTCCAGAGGGTTGCAGGATTCCCACTCAGAGGGTTGCTTCTAGGATTCAGTTCCTTGCAAGCTATCAGACTGTTGTCCTTTATTCTTTGCTGGCTGTTAGACAGAGATCCCTTTGGTTCTCTGCCACATGGGCAGCTACAGCATGGTGACCTGCTTCCTTCCAGGTGAGAGAGCAGGAGAGGGTGAGCAAGGGAGAAGTGGGAGTCCCTTTGTAACCTAACCTCAGAAGTGACATCCCATCTCTTTCCTCGTGTTCTGCTCATTGGAAGCAGGGTGCCAGGTCCAGCGCACGTGCAAGCAGAGGCAGGCTCACTGTGAGCCTCTTAGAAGCTGCCCAACACATGTATCTTAGGTTTGCCTGGTTTTGAACTTCATAAACATGAAACCACACAGTAGGTACTCTTTTACATCTGGCTTCTTTTTTTTTTTTTTTTTTCCTGCGGTACGCGGGCCTCTCACTGTTGTGGCCTCTCCCGTTGCGGAGCACAGGCTCCGGACGCGCAGGCTCAGCAACCATGGCTCACGGGCCCAGCCGCTCCGCGGCATGTGGGATCTTCCCGGACCGGGGCACGAACCCGCGTCCCCTGCATCGGCAGGCGGACTCTCAACCACTGCGCCACCAGGGAAGCCCTACATCTGGCTTCTTTTGATCAAAACTAGGTTTGTGAGATTCATCCCTGTTGTTACCTGAAGCAATAGTATTCTCTCTGTCACGGTGTAGATTCCACTGCAGGGATAGGTCACAATTTGTTCTTCAGTTGATAGATGTTTGGGTAGTTTCAAGTTTAGGACTACTGTGTATAAAGCGTCCTTAAACATTCTTGTTCAGTCTTTTGTTAAACGTATGTTCCCATTTCTGTTGGTAAGTGCCTAGGAGGGGGATTTCTGGGTCGTGGGTGTGCACATATTCAGGTCTTACAGTTACTGCTACCCTGTTTTCCAGGGTGTACCAACCTATATCCCACCAAATGTGTGTGAAAAGTTGAGTTTGGGGTCCCCAGTTCTTAAGCTTTACATCAGGGAATTCTAAGCTTTCCTCGCTGCCAACTTAAGATTGAGTTTTCTCAGCTCCAATAAATCTGTTACCTTTTGTACATCTGCTTCCCAGCTTCCAAAATTTTGTTTCTGTTATCTTCTCTGCATTCTCTTGGTTCTTGTGTACCATTTCTGTCACTTTAGCAGAGTTTCAGGATGGAGTAAAAATAAGTGCTCAGCCCATGATTTTTAACTAGAAACCCTACTCTAAGTCTTTTGTGATCTGTGTTTTTCCCCCCCTTACATCATCTTTTGTTCTCCCTCCCTTTTTCTCCTCCTTCCTTCCTTCCTTCCAACAGAAATAGTAACTGACACTTAAAAAATCTTCCAGAGGGATGTCTCCACGTCATAAATCTTGTTGTAAACAGTTTACAAAAATGCCTTGTAAACACCGTCTTCAAGAGCTGACATTATTCCATTCTTTACTTAAATCCACCCCAGCTGTTAGATCTTGAAATTGTTTCCAGCTTATGTTCTTATAATAAACTCGAGCTTAATAACCATAAACGCACAGTTGAAATTATGGTTTTTTTTTTTTTATTGTTGATAGGGCCTGGGGCTCCTCGTAGGGCTGTGTTCCAGAATGATGATACAGAAACTGCGGAAGTTAAAATTAGCAGCACAGCTGACACCTGGGCAACGTAAAAATATTAGTTTTGAGATAGTACAGTATTCCTAAGGAGGGGCACCTTGGAGCCTTGGAGCAAATAGATTTGCATCTGGGCTATTAGCTCAGGGAACCACTTCATTTATATGATAAGCTTGAGGTAGAGTTTTCCTGCTAGAAAGACAGGTACCAGGAAGAGGAAACTACAGTAGAGAAAATGAGAGCTGGCTGACCATCAACGAGTCCTTACTATACACCAGGTATCGTGTGAGCATTTCACATCTGCCACCTCAGTGATGTATTATAGCAACTCCGGTGTGTAGGTGCTGTTGTTTCCAATGTAAAGAAGAGAAGATTAATGAAATAATGCCATTTGCAGCAACATGGATGGACCTAGAGATTATCATACTGAGTGAAGTAAGCCAGACAGAGACGAATATGTGATATCGCTTATATGTGGAATCTAAAAAAAATGATACAAATGAACTTATTTACAAAACAGAACCAGACTCACAGGCATAGAAAACAAACTTATGGTTACCACAGGAGAAGGGGCGGAGGAATAAATTAGGAGCTTGGGATTAACATATACACACTACTATATATAAAATAGATAACCAACAAGGACCAACTGTATAGCACAGGAAACTACTCAGTATTTTGCAAACCTGTAAGGGAAAAAAATCTGAAAGGAATATATGTATGAGTGTGCGTGTATAACTGAATCCCTTGGCTGTACACCTGAAACTAACGCAACACTGTAGATCAACTACGCTTCAGTTTAAAAAAAAGAAGAGAACCTTGGGGCTCAGAGCCGACAGAGACGGTGGGTTCTGGAGCTGGATGCCCAGTTTGATTTCTGCACCCGTGCCATGCCCAAACACCACTCATCTTCCTTCTCTCTTACCCTGCAGCAGAGACTTGGAAGTTGGAAGAGCGCTGGATGGTCTTTAAGGCTAATTTCATATAACCCTACTTCCTCTCACTGGTCCCGTGGTGTTGAATAGAGCAGGTGTGGATGGGGATGTCCAGGGTTGCCAAGGGGGAAGCGGGGCAGGGGTAGTGGAGGGAGCAAAGAAGCTGTGGATCGCTGCAGCCCATTAGACCCCATGCAGACCACTCCCTGTCCTGGGCTCAGCTGCCCCATCTGGCTAACAGGGCTGGAGGATTGGCCTCTCCCAGCTCTGACATTCTGTAATCACTGACTCATTCGTTCTTGTCTTGTAGGAACAAAAGCGGATCTTAGAGATGGGCATCACGGGTCCTGAGGGCCACGCTCTGAGCAGACCTGAAGAGGTAAAGGAGCCTCCACTGGGTGTGACTCTGACATAGCTGAGAGCTCACCCCGATGCTGTTCCAGCTGGAACAGCCCGGCTAGAGCCCCCATCTCCGTCTCATTTCCCCTACATGAGCACCCCAGCACGTGTGGTCCTCTCCGGGTCTGCCCTCGGGCTTGGGAGCCCTGGGGCCTGCAGGTCGATCAGAGGAGCCGGGAAAGGTTGTGCCTCTCCCAGAGCCCGGGAACTTCACACCATGGTCCCATGGACACTTCAGAATCCCTACTGAGGACAAGGTGTATTTGATGACAGGAAAGTGGAGCCCCACGTCCCAGGCAGAGGACTTCAAAACAACTGCCCTTGCACGGACCTCCTTTCCGCTGTGCTCTAAGACTCGACAAGGGACGAATCCCCTGGGAGTGATATGGCACACGTGTGGCGGGACACGGCGGGTAGAAGGGAGGCAAGCAGGTTGGGCATGGAACAGGATGGACGTCCAGTATATTCTGGTGTCTCATCAGATCATTAGTAGTCTTCCCGGACCTCCGCTCTAGGCCAGCCTGTGCCGGACATGGGACCCAACACATGAGTACACAGACTCCTTACCCGGAGGCTCCTGATCGGGCCCAGTGCTCCAGACGTGAGCTCCACGCCCACGAGCTGGGTTCCCAGTCCCTGGTGAGACCAGGACAGACCTGAGACAGTGTCTACAAACCCTTATAGCACGTAGACGTTGCCACCACCTTCAGGCATGTGAGCAGCCTGGGGACCCTTCTGGGTGTGGCTGGACTCCTGGCACGTGGCTGTGGCTTGGGCTGCCTGCCAGCCACTAGCAGCCCGGCAGACTGGAAATTAAAACAATACATCACAGGTCCTGTTGTCTGCTCTAGCAGGGGCAGAGGCCAAACCCAGCTGCAGGTGGTTTCACTTGGTTATTGAACAAATGAAGGAAGGAATGCATGTTGGACACCTGTGCTCCCTGATGTCAGGCATTTTATAGGTAACCGACCACTTTATGGGCCTTTTGATGACTCTACTGCCTAGGCGATCTGCTTCTAACAGAGCCTGCAGAATACTTCCAAGCAAGTGAAAAACATAATTCTGCCTTCCAACCCTCCAGCCAGATACATTCTTAGTTTTTCCTTCCTTTTGAAAAATCTACAGTATTGTCCTCTCTTGATGCAGTAGATTTCCCTCTGACCGCACTTACGGAGAATCACAGGAGCCTGGTCAGGGAGAGGCCCTAGGAACTCAGGGTGGGTGGCGCCTCCCACCTCTCCCTCCTGTGACCCATGTATTTGCTGTGTCTGCAGCTGGAGGCCGAGGCCGTGTTCCGAGCTATCACCATCGCAGGTCGGATCAACTGTCCCGTGTACATCACCAAGGTGATGAGCAGGAGTGCGGCGGACATCATCACCCTGGCCAGGAAAAAGGGTACGCAGCCCAGTGCGCGGGCCTCCTGCGGGAAGCTGCGGGGTGAGGAAGGGGCGTGTCCAACAGGCTCAAGTTCACTGGCGGAGCCACTCCCCAGGGCAGAGGCATTCTGCCAGTTGCCTGCAGCCTGGGCCCTGTAGGCCGGGTTGAAAAGGGAGCTTGGGATGGTGGGCAGGCACAAGATGTGCAGGCGTTTTCAGGTTTGATTCCTGGGGTGCCATGGGCCCCGGGTATGACCTTGGGTAAGTGGTCTGAGCTTCGATTCCCCCATTTGTAGGTAAGGTAATTATCCCCTCCTTGTGGGTCACATGAGACCATGTATCTTAAAGATCTGTGAAGAGTTCCAAGTTCTCCCCTGGGTTTCACATCAAAGAAGTGATGGAGCCAGGGCTGCATCAGCTCTTGGTCCCTGCCCGCCCCCTTTCTGGGCCTCTCTCTGGGCCCTTCATCCTGGGTCCCCTATCTAGGGCCTCTTAGCGGGTGCCTGCACCCAGGCTCCACTGTGGGGCCCACACAGAGTCTCAGCTGCAGGTTGGGAAGGAGGAAGGTGTTCTTCCAGAGCCAGAGGGTCTGGGGACAGCCCTGTGCTGGACATCAAGGGAGTGTGGCAGGAAGGCAGCCTCCAGCTCTAAGACTTGGACGCACTACTTAACCTCTCTGAGCTACTGTTGTTTCATCTCGAAACGGACCCCATGGGCTCCCAGACGTGAAGTTCCAGCCAAGTCCTTGGCGGGTCCTGAGGGCTCCTGAGGACCCTGGGGCACAGGCGCCACTGGTGCTCTGAACGGCTCTGACCTGTGTGGCGGCCATTCCCCAGGAGACTCAGAGGAACCGCCCAAGTGTGGTCCCCAGGCCTTCTTGACTGAGGCCCACAGTCCCCAACACCCACCAGATAGAGAATGAAGGTTGCCCAAAGCAGCGTTTCTTCCCCAACTCAGGGTGAGAGAGAGAGAAAATGACAGAGGGGGTAGCACACGTCACACGAAGACAGCCGCTAGAATCCTTTCATCCGGTGGGCACTCACCAAGGATGTTTACCACCCGGACAAGGTCCACCCGTCTACTTTCTGGGAGTCGTATGAGGTTGACCGGGAGCTCTGGGTCGGAGTGGGCAGCCTGGTGGAAATCCACAGCAGCCACACAGCCCTGACTGCATCCACCACCCTGTGCCTGCAGGATGCCCCTCCTTTCTTACAGGAACCCTTCATGGGAAGTGTTAAGTGGCTCTATTCTTAAAAATCTTTAATTATGTATTGTATTTCACCTAATATATCCAAAATATTCATTCCACGTGTAATCAGTGTAAATGGATTAAGATATTTTGCATTATTTTTCTGTACTGTCCTCGAAATCCAGTGTGTATTTCACCCTTAAGCACATCTCGACTCAGACCAAATGCCTGAAAGCCACATGTGGCTGGTGGCTCCCGTGTGGGACAGGGCAGCGTTGAACCCCAGATACCTAGTTTTAGTATTTTTAAGGGCAAGCTGACGAGTAGAGGCATTGTACAGAGAGTGATCTAGGTTAGCACAGCTTGCTGAGGACCAGCCCCAGGTTAAAGATGAGGAAACTGCCGGTCAGAGAGGTAACAAGAATCTGGAAGCAGCGGTAAGCATGCCGGGGAGCTAAGCCTGCAGGTCCTAGAGCTGCCGAGAAATAAAGTGACCACCACCCTCTCGTGGCTATTTCAACTTAAGTAAAGTTAAGTACAATTTTTAAGTTGGTTCCTCAGTCGCGTTAGCCCTGTTTCTTGCGCTCCAGGGCCACGTGAGGTTGGTGGTTGCTGTCTTGGGCAGAACCGTCCAGAGCAGTCCCAGCACCGCTGTGCTGTTGGGAGTTGCCGTCCCAGAGCCAGGCTGCTGGAGCCCAAAGCCTGCCTCTCGCTTGCCAGCAGGGTTGCCTTGGACTGATGCCACAGAACCCTGGGCCCATGTCGTCCCCTTGGCACTTTCTCTGCTGCGGGGATTCTCACTTGGGACTTTGCCCCTGGGCTTTTGTTCTGGCAGAAACACATGTGGCCCACTCCCTGGAAGGCAAGCTGGACTTTCGAGAAAGCGAATGCTCAGAAAGGAGCCCTCCAGTAGTGGGTTGGTGGCCGCATGTCCTGGCCCCTTCGCCCCTGTGGCGTGGGATGGCTCTGAGGCTCCCGGGGTCCCCAGTGCACTGAGCTGCGCGTGCCCAAGGCCATGACTCGGTGATAACTCATCTTTCCTTGGCTTCTGTCTCTGCCTTGTGTCACTTCCTCAGTCCCCACCGAGTTGTTTCCTGGAATCACCTCTGTATAAAACTCTTGAACTCGATTTTTCATTTGAAGATCTGCTTTTGGCGGAATCCAAACCAAGACAGCACATCAGGTCTCTGCGCTTTGGTTGAGCATCGTAAAAAGAGATAATAGTCAAATCCAAATGCTAAAAGCGTTCACAGTCCAAAAGGTTGCTGAGCAGGACAGCAGGGTGCTGAGTGCCTGGTGACCGAGGAGCTGGGGCTCGGGGGGGGGGTGTGTGTGGTGAAACCTGGGGGAAGGATGGGCGATTTATCCCCAGTCTCATTCTCCAGCCTCAAGATTCTACTTTCCTGCACCCGCATCTCCCATGAGAGACCATTCGCTCTCAACCACGCGTGTTTGTGTTTGCCTCCCAAGGCCCCGTCGTTTTCGGCGAGCCCATCGCTGCCAGTCTGGGGACGGATGGCACCCATTACTGGAGCAAGAACTGGGCCAAGGCGGCGGCCTTCGTGACCTCCCCTCCCCTGAGCCCAGACCCTACGACGCCCGACTACTTGACCTCCCTGCTGGCCTGGTGAGAGCCCCGGGGGTGGCGGGCTCGTGGGCCTGGGCAGGGGGGCAGGACTTTCGGGAGCGGAGGGTTGAAGGATAGGAAATCGCAGCTGGTTCAGACACACTTGGGAAGGGGCCTTGGGTTGGCTGCCCGGGAGACCTCAGAACAAAACCCCGGGTTGTTTACAGCAGGCCTTTGGGCCTTTGAGTCAGTAACTGCTCCATTCATGTTTATAGGTCACCTCCCATTCATTCAGTGATATTTAAGCACCTGTGTGCCTGGCACTGTGGAGTATTGAGAAACATCCAGAATTAGGAATGTGAGATCAGGATCCTAATCCTGCCTCAACCCCTAATTGGCTGTGTCACCCTGGCCGTGTCACATAACCTGTAATGTCTCTGCCTCAGTTGACACATCAGCAAAGTGGGCAGAATACAGTACCTACTGCAGAGGTGGGTGAGAGACAGCGTAGGTAAAAGGCCTGGAATTCAGGGTTCACAGCGGCCACTGCATTACACTCTGCTTCCTGCACACAGTAGGAGCACAGCTACTTTAACCCCTTCTCTGCCATCAGCCAGTGTGAGGGAAGAACACTTAAGGCCACGGGAGAAGGCTAAGCGGTGAGGTGTGCAGGCTGCTCTGGAAGCGGAGATGCAAGCTTGGAAGGCTTTCTGGAGGAAGTGACATCAGGCCCAGAGCTAGGGGATGCATAAGAGTTTCCCTGAGGGGTGAGAATAAGGTGGGACTTCTAATCAGAAGGAACTGTAAGGGGGTGAGGGTGTGTTCTCCTTTTCCCTAAATGCTGCAGCAGCCCATGACATACCTGGCGTCTGCAGCCTGATGTCTGGTGGGCAGCTCCAAGTCCAAAACAAAACCCCCATCTTCCCCCATGAAGCTGCTGCTCCCACAGTCCTGCCCATCTCAGGAGACGGCAGGACATGGACCAAAGGCCCTGGCATCTGGCCGCTTCTCGCCCCCTTGGCTGCAGCCATCCTGGCTCGAGGGCCATCATTTCTCACCTCCTGACAAGGCTCTCTATTTCCATACTGCCCCTTCCACACCCTTATCGCATCACAATCTGTTCTCAAAAGACGCTCAGATATTTTAAAACCGAAATCGGACCAAGCCAGCCCTCTGCCAGGAGACCTCCAGGGTCCTTTCCTCTCAAAGAGAAACACAAGTTCCCACAATGTCCCTCAAGGCTGAGCCTGATCTTGCCCTCGCTCCTCACTAACCTCGCCTGGTCCTCTTCTCCCCTTGGCTCCCTCGGTCCATCCCACTGGTGTCGCGCTAACTAGACCCCAGGCAGGATGGTGCCACAGGGCCTTTGCACTCACCGTACCCCTGCCTAGCACTCTTTTCTTCATCATCTTGCGGTTTGCTCTATGCCACCTTCACATCTTTGCTGGAAGATTTCTTCTCAGTGAGATAGTTCTGATCATCTTCTTAAAAACAGCAGTCCCAGCGCTACCCCATCACACACACACCCCCCCCACTCACCCTAACCCTCATTCTCCTGACTGTATGTTCCTGACTCCCGCCCCCCGCTCACCCTGCACTGGAATGTCAGCTAATGAACACAGGAATTTGTCTCTTTCTGCTTATAGACGCATCCCCATTGCCTAAGACCATGCCAGACACAGGAAGTGTGCAACACACCTTTGTGAATAAATGAGTGAATGTCACATCCAAATATATTTCTGTACATCTACGTGATTGCTAACGTGCCCTGGGGCCCCGAAATGGTGGCTGGCCTCTGCCCTCGTTGAAAATCACAAAATAAAGCTCCACTTATTCCATTGATTCAGATGCCAGTTAGGGGCTCATCATATAGCCCCAGAGTATTTTCTCTCCAAAGCCTGAGTGACAGAAAAGCAAACCCAGTGAGCTTGTGTCACTTTGCTACAACCAATGAATAGCATTTTGTCCTCCCAGCACAGCACAGAAACATTAGCCAGGCCTTACATCAACAGCCTTACAGAGGGGGACCAAGGTCAGCACATTATGGTTTCCCATGTGACCTGGCGGAGACACGAGGCCAGGGACATGACCATCCTTCCAGCACAAACATCCGTGACTCTGTGAGACACACAGGCACGTGCTGGAGGCTGGGTTTTATTCACTCACTTATTTATATATCCATTCAGTCACTCATCCATTCATTCATTGGCTCCACTCAGCTTTTTTTCTTCTTTTTTAAACATCGAGATAAAATTCACGTAGCATAAAAATTCACCGAGCACTCGATTTTAAAGAGAAGAGGTGGAGGATGGAGAGAGGAGCAAGGGAGTTGGCATCTTTGGCGCCTGCCGTGTGCCAGGCAAGTAGCTCATTGTCTCCTCAGGGTGATCTGGGATGGAAGATTCCATTCTCTTTTCCATTTTACGCATGAAGAAAAGAGGAGTGACTAGCTGAGCCAGGAGGTGGCAGTTCTGGGATTTAAAAGCAGGCCCGCTGGATTTGCAAAGTCAAATTGCATCAGGGGCTGTTCACAGGTATAGTGAGATGCATGGAAGCAGAGTCACTCTGTTGGCCTCTAGCATCTTCTGTTCTCAGCAAGTCTCTCCTCACAGATGCCTGCAGCATCTTGAGGCCCTGTGGACTCTCTCCGGGGGGTAAAAGAACAGACCCACTGCCCCAGGATCAGAGCGTTTTAGGGCAGGAGGAGGCTGACCCGGAGAGCCTTACCTGGACCAGCTGGAGCCCACACTCAAACACAACCCTCTCCCGATGCACAGGCCTCTTTCCCGTCTTCAACAAGACACCAAAGGCCACAGGGCCTTCCGGTGTCACTCAGTAAGGCCTGTGATGTGCCCCAGATCTCTGTGGGGTTTTGAGTTTCACAGCCTCCTCGGGCGTCTGAAGTCAGGGTCCGCTCCTCAGCATGAGCTCAGGTCTGAACCCCACCCTGTTCTGTCTTTGCCAGTGGAGACCTGCAGGTCACAGGCAGCGGCCACTGTCCCTACAGCACTGCCCAGAAGGCAGTGGGCAAGGACAACTTCACTCTGATCCCTGAGGGCGTCAACGGGATAGAGGAGCGGATGACCGTGGTCTGGGACAAGGCAGTGGTAAGGCGGCGCCGTCTCCCTCCTGGAATATTCTAGAAACACCCCTCCTGCCCATCAAAGCCATGCGTTATGCACTTCTGGTTCTTAAAAGTCCCTTCTTACTTTGAGGCAGAAGCAGAGTGCACTTGGAGGGCACACGGAAAACGCGTGACCCTTAAGAAAGCAGCGCGAGTCCTGTGGTGTCCTTTGCATTTGCAGGTGTGACAGCAGCTGTCCTTTAGTCTTTAAGGATGAAAATGTTTTGTTTTGTTTTGTTTTGTTTTGAACCACATCTTGGTCCACGTAAAGATGACTTTGTAAACTGTGTATGTGTTCGGGTTTGGGGTTGAGAGTGGGTACGGGGGCTTCCTGTTGCATAAGGAATCCCCAGGTCACACCCTGATCACTCACTTGAAATAGTAGATTTATATTTTCTGTTAACCTTGGGCCCAATGAAACTGACCAGATGTCAGGGTGGCCGTTGTGGAAATGTCATCACACCTCTGAACGGTTAATTACGTTTCTGCTCTGATGAAGCCAGGCCTCTGGCACTCTTTCAGGGTGGCCTGGTTCCAGCAGGGAGAGGAGAAAATTCCAGAGTCCTTGTAAGGACTCCTGTTGGCTGGTTTCGATCTATGCCTGTCTGCCCCTTCTGGTCCTGTTATGAGATGCTCTTTTCACCAATGGATCTTGTCTTCAGGCTACTGGCAAGATGGATGAGAACCAGTTTGTTGCTGTTACCAGCACGAATGCAGCCAAGATCTTTAACCTGTATCCCAGAAAAGGGCGGATTGCCGTGGGCTCGGACGCCGACGTGGTCATCTGGGACCCTGACAAGGTGAAGACCATAACAGCCAAGAGTCACAAGTCGGTAAGTCCTGGTTTATTAGTGACACTCCTGGCTTGGGTGAGCAATTCTTGCTCTGCAATCATTTTAGAAGCCTCTGGTTAAAAATGACTTACGAGTTTTCCAACTAGAATGTGATCTGATATCTGGCATGACTCGGTCTTTCAGATTTCTCCTCCAGTTGGAGAGATTGGGAGAAGGGTTTGGTGCAGGCTCAACTAAGCTGTTCTTGCATGTGTCTCTCCCACGGCGCTCTCTCTCTCTCTCTCTCTCTCTCTCTCTCTCTCTCTCTCTCTCTCTCTCTCTGGGGCTCCTGTCTACAGATGCATGCATTCTTAAACAGCTGACTCTGCTCCTAATTCCATGGAGCAAGCCATCAGGCTCAGAGAGGGGACATATAAGGTCCAAGATTCTTTCTCCAATTTAGTTATCAAGCTGGAGAGGGTTTGATCTGCTATATCAGAAACCTACTTCAGTTTGGGGCTGGGCTCGCAGTCATCAAAGGAAAGGATTGGACTGACTCGTGCACACTCTCCCGGGCTCCAAGCCCCAAGCCTATGGGTGCGGGTTTTCTCTGCCCTTCGTATCTTACATGCCCTTGATTTCTTCACTCATCCATCAAACCTCTAAGGATGCAGGGAGACATAGGACATCTTTCCCTCCCTGAGTACTTGCTTCAGACCCACTCTGCATGGTCAGCAGCAGTCTTGGGTCCAGATTAATGTTCACACTCACAAGACACAGAGTCCTCAGCCTGGTCCCTGGTTCACCAAAGTCTGTTACAGGGCGTGGGCTGGGAGGCAGAGCGTGTGCACACGGCATCACTCTGCGATGGGAGTCCTCATCCCCCTCGGCTGCCATTCCCCAGCCCAGTGGTCACTTGCTGGTGAGGGGCGAGACCACGTGCATGGGGACAGAACACCAGGCACAAGGAAGCCTCAAGAGAAAGTGACAAGGACCACTTGTAGCAGCTCATGAGTGTGGCCCGCAGGTCCCCCTCGGCCACAAGACCCATGGCCTGGGGACAGAGAGGTCTGTCCAGCTTATCAACCAGTGGTTATTCCTGAAATAACCAGAGCTCCCTGATGACAGGCTGGCTTCCCTCACCCCCCTCCCTGGGGACAGGTCAGGAGGAAATGAGCCTGAGGTAGCCTCCCCTGGAGAAAGGTGTATGCTGTTCTCCACACTCACCGCCCAGCAGACACACGACTCCGTTTTAATTACTATGGACGTGGTGATGTGCACAGACCAGGTGGGCTCTGGGAAGGCAGGAGAGGCGCGCTGCCCCGCAGTGGTGTCAGCTCACAAGGCCGTTGTGGTCCAGGAAAGAAGAGGACACTGGGTCAAGGAGCAGGGGTTCCAGTTGTTATCAAATTCCAAATATTATCAAATATTATCTTGTAGTTACTCTGTGCTTACATTTTCCATGCATCATCTCACTTAATACAATAACCTTCTAAGTTAGGTATGTTATTATTTATGAATAAGTAAGAAAATGGACAGAGAGAGGATACGTGTATTAGTCTCCTGGGGCTACTGTCACAAAGTACCACAAACTGGTGGCTTGAAACAACAGAAATTGACTTTCTCACAGTTCCGGAGGCCTGAAGTCTGAAATCAAGGTGTCAGCAGGGCCGGGCTCCCCTCTCTTCTCTTGGAGAGAATCTGTTCCATGCCTTTCTCCTGGCTTTTGGTGTCGCTGGCCATCCTTGGTCTGTAGATGCGTCACTCCGATCTCTGGCCGTCTCCCTATGTCTTATCATCTACTTATAAGGACACCAGTCATTGGATTTAATGCCCACTCTACCCCAGTGTGACCTCATCTTAACTAATTACATCTGCAATGACCCTATTTCCAAATACAGTCACATTCTGAAGTACTGGGGGTGAAGACTTCAACATACCTTTCTGGGGACAGTTGAACCAATAAAAATAAGTCACACAGCTGAGATTACCCATGTGAGAAGGAATGTTTCAGATTCGTTAAACTTGAAAAGCGTGCCGTCTCTGTCCCAAGCCAGATTGGAATTATTTTCATAAAAAGAAGAGGCCAGTTCAGGATGCTGTGAGACCAGTTGGCCACAGCGTTTTTGTCTGTTCCATTTTCTCTGTTTAAAGCAATGCAATTCACATAGTGCAGGAAACAAATGTTTTTCAGAACATGGATTGAAAAATGCCGTCTTAGGGCTTGGTTTTATTTTTTCAGTTTTAAAAAGATTCCTTTTGACGATGAAACTCATTTCTTATATCTTGATCGGTGATTAAAAATTTAAATCTACTTTCCTGTAAAAAGAACACAACTTTTATTCTTTCATATCTTCGTGGGAAAAGTATTTGCTTCAAAGTATCACACTATAGGTCACATACATGCTTGTATATCCAGAGACTACATAGTTTTTTTACACTCTTTATGCTTAGATATAATTCACGTGACATAAGTTTCACCATTTTTAAATGTACAGTGCAGTAGTGTGTTTAGTATATTGAGAAAGTCGTACAATCACCACTACTAATTCCAGAACGTTTTCATCCCCTCAGAAAGAAACCCAATCCCCATCAGCAATTATTCCCCATTCCTCCTCCCCAGGCCCCTGTCAACCACAAATCTGCTTTCTTTCTGGATTTGTTTATTCGGGACATTTCCTATAAATGGCATCACACAGTATGTGGCCTTTTGTTTCTGGTTTCTGTTTACCTGGTATCATGTTTTGGAGGCCCATCCACACTGTAGTAGGTATCAATCCATTCCTTTTTAATGTTGAATAATCTTCCACTGCTTGGATAAACCACATTCATCCATTGATGGATATAAACATACACCATACTTATCCACTTATCAGTGTCAGGCTATCTTTTTTTTTTTTTGCCGTACGTGGGCCTCTCACTGCTGTGGCCTCTCCCGTTGCAGAGCACGGGCTCCGGACGCGCAGGCTTAGCAGCCATGGCTCACGGGCCCAGCTGCTCCGCGGCATGTGGGATCTTCCCGGACCGGGGCACGAACCCGTGTCCCCTGCATTGGCAGACCACCAGGGAAGCCCCAGGCTATCTTTTATAGGACATAAAAGACTGAGGAACAGTAGTTGCTTCCTGGGAGAGGTACTGGGGAACTGGGGCTCCAGCATGGGAGACACAACAGTTTTTTAAATCAGAGTCTTCTGTATTATTTGAGTTTTTACATTGTTCATAAGTACCTTTAGGAAATAAAACAATTAGCTTTTATTTATTTTTTTAACATCTTTATTGGAGTATAATTGCTTTACAATGGTGTGTTAGTTTCTGCTTTATAACAGTGAATCAGCTATACATGTACATATATCCCTGTGGGATAGGGAGGGTGGGAGGGAGACGCAAGAAACAGTTCGCTTTTAAAACTCTATGTGGGGGGCTTCCCTGGTGGCGCAGTGCTTGAGAGTCCGCCTGCCGATGCAGGAGACGCGAGTTCGTGCCCCGTTTCGGGAAGATCCCACATGCCGCGGAGCGGCTGGGCCCGGGAGGCATGGCCCACGGGGGGAGATCTCCCCAAAGGGGAGGCATCTCTGATATGTTAGGTCCTTAAAACAAAAAAAAAAAAAAAAAAAAAACTCTATGTGGTCGTGGGACTTCCCTGGCAGTCCAGTGGTTAGGACTCTGTGCTCTCACTGCCAAGGGTGCGGGTTCGATCCCTGGTCGAACCCTGGTCAGGGAACTAAGATCCCGCAAGCCATGCAGCGTGGACAGAAGTAGAAAAATTAAACAAACAACAACAGCCAAAAACTCCATGTAGTTGTGAAATATAGAATGTGACATCTGTGGGTAATATAACCTGAGCCTCATAAGAATTCCCCAATTGAGGA